AAAAAAAAAACTAAACTGATGGATTTGCCAAAGTTATAAAAAAAAAATTGTGAAATTAAAATAAAAAAAAAAAGAAATTGTAAAAGTGTCTCTTCAATCAGGGAGAGCCTGACTTCGGAAAAGATCACTTCCGTTAAAAGACCATCCGTGAAAGCTTTTAAAAGTTGAAACTTTATCAATTATCGCGGTAAGTAAACAAATTTCCATTGTTATCTGCACCGGGACAGGCAGATATCTCTCATATTCACACGTTCGCAGGGAGAGCACGCGTGTTTTTCATTCGTCGATTGTTTGAGTAAATAAACATGTTTTGCTACGCGAAGGCCACGTTAATTGAACGAACGCGTTCCGCATGCTCAAGCCGCTTGTTATTTTCAACAACGTTCGTCGCTGTCAGAATTGGTTGATTTGCAAATTCGTGCAAAGCTGAAACAAAGTTGCTCGATCTATTTCAAACCTGTAAATATGCTGATAAACTTTCGAACAAGGGAATGCCCTTGGGTTTAGGATAAGCTTAAATATGTTCAAATATGTACATCGATCGGGGAACATTGGGCGTGTTCATTTTCATCTTTCACCGTGCTTTGATTCGATTGAAAATAAAACGGAACGTTTCGCGAGATAGGAGCGAGAGACGTAATGCTATCTGGCAAAATTACGGATAACTTAATATTCCGCACGCTGGCGCGACAAATTTTGCAAATTTATTCTCGTACGCGTAATCGAATACACGAATTAATAAAATTTTCCACCGTGAAACCGCGAAAAGTTGCGAAATTCTACGCGACCCGTTGTGACGAGCGAACGATTTTACAGAAGATTTTTTCTATTTACTGTCCCTTCGATCGTGAAAATTCGTGAAAAAAATTTCGGCAAAATTTGGCGTTCGAAACGCGCGAAATACGAGAGAGATTTGTCCGAAAAATCGAAACTCACAGCGAGCGTGAAAAGAAGTTTAGAGCTGTCAGCGTGGACGTGGATTTTTAAAGGGCAACGGGAGGCGAACACGTGCAATTTTCATACGCGAGGCGAGATGATTTGGATTTTGTCTGGTTTTGTCGCCAGCTTTAATGGGGGTAGATTCCAAAGAGTAAAATGTTAACATGTATACGCGTGGAATTTTTACACGGGCGCGCGAGAGACCCTGTTCGTGGAATAACATTCACAGACGACGCGTGTAGAGTAGCATCGAGAGTTTCTATTTCGTTCCAGTTCCCGTAGGAAACGTTCCGAAGTACATCGAGTTAAAATATAAATGTTCCATAAATATCGAGAGGGTGCTGCAAAATAGAAAAGGTAAATACAATATTAGAGGAAAGTAGTGCAAAACAAAAGAAGTAAATGCAATATCAGAAGAAATATGTAAATACGTAATAATATATAAATAATAATAAATATTATAAATATTATACTAACATGCAAATAATAAATATTATAATAATATGTAAATAATAATAAATATTATAAATATGCAAATAATAAATATTATAAATATTATAATAATATGTAAATAATAATAAATATTATAAATATTATAATAATATGCAAATAATAAATATTATAAATATTATAACAATATGTAAATAATAATAAATATTATAATAATATGCAAATAATAAATATTATAAATATTATAACAATATGTAAATAATAATAAATATTATAAATATTATAATAATATGCAAATAATAAATATTATAATATGTAAATAATAATAAATATTATAATAATATGTAAATAATAATAAATAATTACAAATATTATAATAAGCAGAGGAAGTAAATGCAATGTCAGAAGAAAGTATAAATATATCCAAAAAAGACTACAAAAGTATTTCAGGAAAAGTAAGTGGAATTTCTAAACAAAAACAAAAAAACAAAAAAAACATCTTCCCTGCGTCCTCAGAATTCCTCAAAAAAAAAAAAAAAAAAAAAAAAAATTGTGAATGAAATTGTGTGCCTTGTTCGAGCCTTCTTGCTTGTGAAACTCCCGTCCGATGGAAGGAAACCGAGGGATTCTCCGAAGATATCGGCCCCATGGATCATTTTGCCTGATGCCGGAGCGACGAGAGAAGAAGCGGCAAGAGAACTGGAACACGAGTATCGACGATCGAATTTACGAAGCACCACAGGCCATTAGTCGCTGCTGGGGGAGCACGCTGAGATTAGAGGGGCGGATAGACGACCAGGAGACGCGGATGCACCGGGGCCGGTTCACTTTAAGTTCGAATACCAAGCCTGTCTATAAACAGTTTGGTGTTCTACCTTACAGTGAGTCGACCGCGGTATCGTCGACGTTCCATGCGAGAAATATAGATAGATAAATAGACAAAGAGAGAGAAAGAGAGAGAGGGGGAAGGAAAAAAAGGGCGGATCGATAAACGAAAAGCGTGCTGTTACGAAGGGGAAAAACGTATCGCGTGGCGATACGTGTCTAAGTGGATGGACAGTGATGGCGTTGCACGTCGAAGGAGAAATCCCTGAAACGGGTCAGCCCCGAGCTCGATCTAGGTCGAACACGACCCTAAGAAACCCGGATCGGATTGCTTCCTTTTAACGATTTTCTGTCCAAAGACTGTCGCAAGTGCTTCAGAAGAAGCTGCGTTGCTTGCGTTAAATTTAATCTGTCGAGCGTCGACATTGAACCGAGCGATCGTAAATTTATTACCTGCGGACGATAACAAACGTACGGACGATTAATTAACTTTTTTATTCGCTCGCGTCTTCCACAAAAATCAAACTGTGCGCGAGAAATATATATATATTTATAAAAATATATATAAATATTTATGTAAAAGAAACAACGAGGTTGTTGAAAGTTTGACAAAGGAGTCGAAGAGAAAAAACATCTGACAGACATTTTTTTCTTTCTGTCCTTTCTCTCCCATCTCTTCCGTGATAATGCATGATTTCGATTGCATCAATGACGTTTCCATAGACGAGTTTTGCAACGAGTTCCCGCACAACCTGGTACCGACGCCTGGCTACTGGATCGAGTGCTCGAGACAGCAGATCACGTCCGATACGATCTGGGACGAGAGCGAGAGCGGCGAGGCGACCGACACCGAGCTGGCCGAGGTTCAGCAGGAGTCGGACACCGACGAACTGCCGAGGAAGAAGACCACCATCGAGGAACAATGGGAGAAGAACCAAGGGTTCGAGCTGACCTCCGTCGAGCAGGAGACCTACGAGAAGTACTTCTACGGTACTGAACACTGGAACTACTTCACCAACGACGAAGACCTCGGCCCGGTGATACTGAGCATCAAGCAGGAGACGTTGAACGGCCGGGAACAGTTCAGAATCCTCGTCCGGGCTATCAGTTACACCGTCCACGGCCTGATTCCAGCGAGCTGCGTGTTCGCCGACAGGTATCTCGCACGTTTTTCTTCTCTAGCGTGTGTATCTTTTTTTGTTTTTTTTGTTTTTTTTTTTTTTTGTTGAATATCATTTCTCATTGTAGAAGAATACAAATAACAATGGAACGACGCGACGCGATGGCATGGAAGTGTAATTTATTGTTGCACGATTATTGTTGTTGATTTGCTTGTGGTTTGGGTGAAGTCTGCTGTGTCGTTCGAGAGGATAAAATCTCTTTGACATTTCCTTTTATTGTGAGCGCCGGATTTATACGGCATTTTTTGAGTATTTTTTTTTTTTTTTTAGCGGCAATAGTCGATGTTGAAGGGATGTACACTAACAAAATTGGGGATTTACTTCCGGAATATACAGTTTTTGCGTAAATTGATGAAATTTATTTAAACATTAAATTCGCCATTTAAAAAAAAACACTAATTAAATATTTTGTAATTATAAATATTATAATTATAAATATTTTATAATATATTATATTTTAATAATATATTTATAATATTTTATAATAATATATTTATAATGTTTTATAATATATTATATTTTATTATATTATATAATTATAATATATATTATAAATATTATAATATTAAATATTTTATAATTATAAATATTATATAATTATTATATAAAATATTTAAATATTTAATTAAATAAAATATTTATTTTAAATATTTAATATTCAAATATTTAATTTAACAAAATATTAAATAAAATATTTAATTTTATACAATTAAATATTTAAATATTTTTTATACTGAAATAATTGAAAACAAATGATATACGCCATTAAATTCGTCGTGAAAGAAAAGAACACAAATTTCATCAGTTTATCGTTCAATTATTTTTTATATAATTTTCTGATGATCCTTCCAAATCATGCATACATTTTCCTGAATATTTATTTGCGGAAATTATACATTCAAACGCAAATTGCGGGCAAATTGGAATCTCGATGAAAAAAGGAAATTCATTATTTTCGGTAGAACTGGAAAATTGAAAATTGGTAGAGTCAGGTGGAAACGTAAAGTTCAAATTGAAACTCCAATTGCCAGGAGAATTTTTAACGAAGCGGGAAAATGAAATGGGTTTGGAATATGGTCGATGACGGGGATTATGGTCGGACGAGTCAGGCGAGTAGCGCGAGTCGAGCGTTACGCTGGCGAGCATCGTAGTTTAGAAACTAAACAGCGTAAGTAGCCAACGGTAATATCCCGGCTCCACCTAGGAGGCTTTAATACCGTTTTAATTAGGTTAAACTGCTGAACCGAAGGGAAATTAATTCCGCGCTTCGAACTGCACAGAAGCAACAAAATAACAGGATATACGGAGATATTCAATTTGCACGGGTCTTTGTCTTTCTATCGCAATTATCTGTGACAAAACCGTTCAGATCATCTGAACAATCTGTATCGTTAAAATTTAGAAAAGAAAATAACTGAATGAGATTATGTTGCGTGAAGTGTTTTTGAAAATATTTCGACTCTGTTGTGTGTGTGTGTGTGTTTTATGTATCTTTAAAAGCACATTTGCCGCAAATAGCGCTTAACCTTATCGTTACAAAGGTGAGGCCGAAAATATCGCGTAAATGGGCGGAAGGTGATGCCTAAAGATAGACGAAAAGTGGTAAAATAAAATTTCGTCGTCCGAGCTTTAATTTGCCGCGGAAAATAGATTTTCAGATAAATTGGCCGGATGAAGTGTCGTTGATAAAATTCTCCTCTTGCGCTCAGTCGGTTTTAATAATACGTAAAAGTCGCGTAGGTGTTATATATACAGGGTGTTTCGTAATTTCGTGAGCTGATTGTACTTGCCTAAAAATAATGAAAAAAAGTCAGATAAATATATGTCCTGTCTGTCTTCGTTTGTGAGATATAATGAATTTTATAAACAGAGCAAACTCTAGTAAGCTAGTTTTACCAGGGATGGTATATTCAATTTTCATAATAATCATAATT